TTCACAGGATGGAGGATTACTGTCTTGGTAGAGATGGGGAGGTGGCAAAAATTCATAAGGGGACATCTGTTGGTTCTCACTGTCTTCATGCATTAAATAATTTGATCCAGAATTTGCTTCACATCTGAAATATTATGTTTGTTTTAGAGGGTGTTAAGATTTATTTATTTACTTATTTATTTACATTTCATAAGGTCAGTTTCAAGTAGCGAGCAGTTTGGGACTGGATGTACTCAATCAAAATATTTCAGACGCCCCATATTCTAGCTAAACGATTTTGACTGTGCTACTAAATATTGTTTTCCTCATTTGACAAGTCTCCATAATCAAATAAGCCCTTTATCAATTTAGAAGACCTCACTATACTTTTTAGCCAGCTAGTTTTCATCGATTACACAGCTTTGACAATGGGATTTAATTTCAAATGCAAAAGTATTAAATATTAAGGGTTATACATTACCATCTATTTTGTATAAAGTCATGTGAGGTCATGGATACTCTCCCGGATCCCTCATCCATTCTCTTGTAGTTATGTAAAAAATTATGGCAATTGGGAAATACATTTAAATTACTTAAATGAATGGAATTAACCTATTTAATTTTAATATTAAACTCGAATAGCTATTTGATAAAGATTCTTACATTCTATTTCTCCACTGGTTTTAGTAAAACAAAGACAGCTAAATCTAGAGAAACTAGGAGGTGACTCTGGCTTTTGTTTATTTAGTTTTGTTTGCTTTACAGATTTCTAAAGAGTTAGATTTAATGTGGCAACATGTCTAGATTTTTTTAAAGATTTTTTTTTTTTTATTTTTCAACGTTTATTTATTTTTGGGACAGAGAGAGACAGAGCACGAATGGGGGAGGGGCAGAGAGAGAGGGAGACACAGAATCGGAAACAGGCTCCAGGCTCCAAGCCATCAGCCCAGAGCCTGACGCGGGGCTCGAACTCCCGGACCGTGAGATCGTGACCTGGCTGAAGTCGGACGCTTAACCGACTGCGCCACCCAGGCGCCCCAAAGGTTTTTTTTTTTTTAACTTGACCTCAACTTCAGTCTTTTCACTGTTAAGATTCCGATTTCACTGCTTTGCCCATACATACATTGAGCTTGTTTTTCTCTGCCAGAGAGGCTGGAGGTGACGTGTGCTTTGGTAAATACGTACCAAATGTGTGTGAATGCGTGTGTGTTTCAGGTGTGGCGTAAGGACTGCCCTGTGCAGTGGGAGATAATAGAAACAATTGCTAAGCAAGGGAGCAAAGCCTGTTCACTAAAGGGTACTTTACATTCTCCTATACGCTGGCTAGCTTATGGCACGGAATAAAACCATACTATTGTAAATTAAAGTTAAAAGGTCAAGGACAGAAATTTTCAGGTATTATTTTACTTTCAGCCTGATATATTTCCTGAGAATTGAAACACATGTGGCACAAGTATTTATTTGCACCTTTTGCACAGATATGGAGGTGCTCGTTTTGGAAGAATCTATTCAAAGTCAAATGCAAGTTACTTAGATTGGTTCATTTAGAATTATCTTCTGGCTGGTTACTGGGTTATTTTAGTCGCTTGAGTGTATCTTCATTGTAATTGCTTTTGGTGGATTATTTCCAAGGAAGGGGATCAAATGCCTCACAGTTGGTGCAACAGAAATCACTAGTGCAATAAAGTCTAATCTTTAGCATTGTTTGTTCATACTTTATTTTCACAGGCAATTTTGATCTGGTCATTGGTGAAATTTCATAGGCCTAATTATGCCAAAATTCCGTACCCTGACTGGGGAGTTGCTCTAGGCTGGTGTATGATTATTTTCTGCATTATTTGGATTCCAGTTATGGCCGTCGTAAAAATAATTCAAGCTGAAGGAACTATCTTCCAAGTAAGCACATTTATATTATTTATTCTTTAAATAGAGTACTTATGATCCGCATGAAGATTACTCATACGGTGGTAAGAGGGGATTATGAGCCTTTAGGCTACTTCTACGCCTGATACAATCATCTGACTACTGTGTACATAACATTGCTTTATATTTATATATCTGTGTGTCTTGTACTAGATTATAAGCTCCTTTAGGGAGGAGTCCTATGTTGCTTGCTGCTGTATCCTCAGGCCCTATTAAGAGTGTTCGGCACGTACAAGTTATGCCATTTATACTTGTGCTGAGTTGTCCCTGAAGAGGACACGAGGCAAATGACCTTTTTGCTTTAGATCTACGATCTTCACTTTAAAAGCATTGTCCGGTTATAACGCATGTCCTAATAGCGTGTGCAGACTTGAAAAAGCCTGGTAAATGATCTCGCACCCCATCTAGACCCTGAGTGATCCCTCTTGCACGGAGGCCCAGGGGGATGGAGTTGATTAGGACATCTCACTAGGACAATGACTGGGACAAACGTCAGGAGTCAGGTTTTAAATAACTTCCCAAGCCCATCCAGATCAATGGTTTGACCCCAGGGTTCTCTTTCTTTGGTTCTCGAAACCTCGAAACCTCGCAGGCAGACACTGGATTAAATCCTCACCTGACTCTCACTCTCAGGGAAGAACAGCAATGTCGGAGAATTCAGTGAAAAGACGTGGAGTAATGGGCTCATACACTTCCTCTTAAAATCATTCGTAGGCTCGGTTATTTTTGTCTTGTAGTCAATGTAATTCTATTAACAACTAGTTAACTTTGAGTATCATTTTTTTTAGCACACTATATTAAGAATTTTGATGATCACTTTTGACTTTTCTGTGGTTCCTAGGTCATTTTGCTTAGCGAGGAAACTTAATATTCTGCAAAGGAAATACGGTTTGATATTTGATATGGTCTAAAACATGCTTTTTTTTTTTTTTTTTCTTTTCAGCGCATCGTAAGCTGTTGTAGACCAGCTTCTAACTGGGGTCCGTACCTGGAACGACATCGTGGGGAGAGATACAAAGACATGATAGATCCTAAAAAAGAGACTGACCATGAAATACCTACTGTCAGCGGCAGTAGAAAACCAGAATGAGATCTAATGTTTTAAACAGATGTGGTCATGTAAAGTGATAACTTTAGAATCAAGGAAAATTTTATTTATTTGTAGGTTAATTGAGTAGAAAAATGTATATACTATGTCCATAATAGTATAAACTTGTTTTCCCATTTAAGCAGGAATGTGATATAATGTGAATCTACTAATACTTAACAATGTGATTATTATATTTCTTTTTAGATCATCTATCTGTATAACACATACGCAGCTGTCTCTATTTCACAATAACACTTTTGTAAATATTACCATAATATTTTTCTAATATGCTGAAGACTTTATTTTGAGCCGGTTATTTAGAAAATTGTTATATTTTCTATTATACAAGTTTTAAAAAATTGTTTGCTGTATTTTCTTAGTATACAAGCTTTCTTTTCCATAAAGCTGGGGAAAATAAAATCAGTATATTTAAAAGAAAGTATTAAAGTTGAAGGCCTTATTCAACTATAAATGCTATACATATATGCGGAAAATGGACTGTGTATATGAGCACTGTAGTTTAATACAATGGCTTCGATCAAATCTAAGATCTTATGATTGTAATATATAGTTAAGAGATGAAGCAAAATGTTTGTCTTATTTGAGTAAGTTACTATGTACACGTGGTAACTTATTTACATACTTATAGGAGATAAATCTGTCAAACTTGTCAAGAATGAAGGAAGGCAATTAGAAAGTCCTATGTCCCAGTTTCCTTACAGAAGATAATGAAAACATATCATTGGCAGGTTCATACATCGATTAGGTATTACTGACCACTGGTTTAAACCTCACAGCCTGGGACGATGAACATTGCTGAAATATGCAAGAAACTTTTCAGCTATTCTTAAAGGTTCTTAACTAGGGCTTCAGAGAACATTTAAAACTGACATTATACATAGTATCTTTCTATGTGTATGTGTACATGCATTTTTCTGGGGAGAGAATGTACAGCTTTCAACAGAATACCAAAGGGATCTGTGGTTCAAAAAAGTTTACGAACTGCATCACTATTTCTTCTGGCTTTTTGTTGTTGGCAAGTGAAGAAGGAAAGGAATCATTTTACGCCTTAATTTCGGATACATTTTAAATTCCTTTTCCTCTTCTTTTCTACTGAAGATTAAGGGAGGAAGAGATTAAGGTATTAAATTTAGACTGGTAACTTATTTGGGGGAAGGGCCAGGAAGTAGGTAAACAGATAGGCTTATGATTGAAAAGTCTCAAGGAGCTATGTACAAATATATAACATAAACTTGTGTTCGGTATTTTAAGGATTTTCTTTGAGGGTAAGTCAAATGCTGTTAGTGAACTTCAACAGGTTAATTCCTCACTTACACTGGATTTTATAAAATATTGGAAATAGATGGCTGATGAGAGTTTAGAAATACTTTTTCTGATTCTTAGTCCACATTACACTACATGCATCCCATCATTATATTTTGGTGCCATCGGAGGCGTCGATTTTTCACCAAATAGAAAAACGCGTGCCATTTTCTATAGGTGAATCTTGCAATTCAGGGGAGCGTTAGGCACATTTCTAAGGAAATGATACCAAATTGGTGGGGGAGAGGGTGATGGGGAGGCAATCCCTTTCAAGAGCTGACTGCAAGGAGTAAAGAGTTTGTGTGACTATCTCGGCAAGTGTATAAAACGAGATCTTAACAATGCCTGTCAAATTTTAGGGTGCTCCATGACAGCTCCTGTTAACACAGATTCAACAGTGGTGAGGGAGTATCCCATGAATAGAGTTCCATCAGATCCTACTTCTTTTTTGGTTTTAATTTTTTTTAATGTTTATTTATTTTTGAGAGAGACAGAGTGCGAGCAGGGGTGGGGCAGAGGGAGAGGGGCAGAATCCGAAGCAGGCTCCAGGCTCTGAGCTGTCAGCACAGAACCCGACGCGGGGCTCGAACTCACGGACCGCGAGATCGTGACCTGGCTGAAGTCGGATGCTTAACCAACTGAGCCACCCAGGCGCCCCAAGATCCCATTTCCTTTAGTGCAAAAAGACATTTGCAATATTTTATTGTACACCAAAACTCTTTTTCACACGTGAATGAAATTAAAATCACTATATCTTAACTATATTTTTACTGTAGCTTATTTTTTTAAAGCAAACCTTTGGACCTGTTATTCTCTATTGTGCTTTCATTCCTTGCCCAGTACGTTTATCTATTTTATATAAATATATAATAAACATTTATACATATTAAATAACATATTTACATATATATAATATATATATAGATGTATACACATATAAAACATGTAATCAATTCTTTAAATGTCAGTAAAAGCGAATTTATAAATGTCTGGATTTTGTACCTGACTTGGCAACCCCTCCCCTTCTAAACAACAATTCATGTGGTATGAATACATATAATCAAATGAATTCACTCAAAGTGCTTTTAATGATTGCCTTCACTCTCATTACATTCTCTAAGCCTGTCAGTGGATTTACAGTTAGCTAATGTACCATTTAAACCCTTGATAATTAGGAAATGTTCCAATTCAGCCAGCTTGTATTCCACGATCCTGAGGTTTATCAATATTCGCTTCTGCATGGCTATCGTGTGTGGGGAATTAATTAAGATACCACGAGAGATGCTGTCGACTGAAAGATTATCAGTATTGCTCTTAGTTGACCCAGTAGAAGAGGTTGCTCTTACTAGTGCAAGAGAGGTCGAACTGGATGACATTTCACCAACGCTGCTCTGTAAGGGAAGGACATTATACATATGTAGGTTATTGAGTCTAGCAATTTCCAAATACAGCTGATGTTTGAACACAGTGGGAGGTTAAAGACATTGATTCCCTGGGCAGTCAAAAACCCATATGGAACTTTTGACTCCCCCCAAACTTAACTACTAATAGCCTATTGTTGACCAGAAGCCTTACAGACAGCATAGTCGATTAACACGTATTTTGTGTCTGTATTACATACTGTATTTTTACAATAAAGTAAGCTAGAGAAAAGAAAATGTTATTAAGAAATTGTAGGGGGGGGCGCCTGGGTGACTCAGTCAGTTAAGCATCTGCCTTCGGCTCAGGTCATGATCTCACAGTCCGTGAGTTGGAGCCCCACATCCGGCTCTCTGCTGTCGGGGCAGAGCCCCCAGTGGATCCTGTGTCCCCCTCTCTTTCTGCCCCTCCTCTGCTTGCTAGCGTGCATCTGCTCTCTCAAAAATAAACAGAAAACTTTAAAAAAAAATTAAAAAAAAGAAAATAGTAAGGAAGGGGAAATACATTTATAGTAGTGTACTGTATCAAAAGAAAATCAGAGTATAAAGACCCACGAAGTTCAAACCTATGTTGTTCAAGGGTCAACTTGAACTATCAAATAAGATGCTTAGTCTTGGGTAGCAAAATGAACTGATTGTCCCCCCCCCTAAGTGATTGAAAATCCGTTGAACAACAACACTGATTTGGAAATACACTCTTCCCAAAGACTGAAAAAAAAATTTGTATAAAGTAGCCTCTTAATATCAAAATGTTGTATTTTGGGCTTACATTTCCTGGACAGTCCAGTAGGTTTATACTTGGACCCTGATCCTTATCTCAGAGGACCACTAAAGCCCTAAAGTCATTTGCAACTTTAAATATCACCAGGAAACCCACAGTTTGAACTGAATTATTTGCGAATGCCCAAAAACCTGTCATAAAGATGGCTGAAACCAGGGGAGAAAGACGCAAACCAACCTAAGGGGTAGTAGAAGCTAGAGAAGGAATAGATTCTTAAAACAGGAGGCGACGGCGGAGCGTGGGCCCTTTCAGCTCTACTTTTCAAGTGGATGAAACGCTGACCATGTTACTTAGTGACTTGGGGCTTTTTCCAACAGACCACGGCTGTCGAATGGTTGGTCAAGAAGAGGGAAGTGCGGGGGTAAACATCCGGGACTCTTCGAAGAATGAGGCGACCTCCCCTTACTCTTAGTTTACTGTTTTAGTATCTTTCTATTCACAAACACCTCCCTCCCCCTCCACCGACCACCTGACTGCATCCAATTCCAATTTCTCTTACACACTTTACCTGAAAGCGGCTCTTCCAGACGACAAGCAGTAAAGCGAACACGATAAAACTCAGTAGAAGCAACAGCATGCTCATGTTTTCTCTTCGGCCTCTCCTCCCCTCTAGGCCACGGAGGCACAAGACTGGCAGTTGGGAAGCAGGGGACCCTAGTCGTCCCCCCGAGTATGGAAGCCACGGGCCACGATGCTAAGCGTCCCGCACCGCTCGGTGCAACTGGGAGTCGCCTCAGCCTTTGGCTTCACATAGTCTAACAGGCGCGTGCCGCCCTCACAATTGAGCGCTTCCGTGAGGGCGCTACGTCACAATCTGATGACGTCAAACCCGGAAGCAGGCGGTACCTGCCATGGCCTACCTGGGTGCTGCGTCAGGTTGTTGGCGAGGGCCGCGAGAGGCAACGGGGGCGTTTGGGATTTCCGGGCAGCTGAAACAGGGTAGAAACACAGACGCCAAACGGCCTGATGAAACACGAGTTTTATTTTATTTTATTTTTTTTTAAATTTTTTTTTTCAACGTTTATTTATTTTTGGGACAGAGAGAGACAGAGCATGAATGGGGGAGGGGCAGAGAGAGAGGGAGACACAGAATCGGAAACAGGCTCCAGGCCCTGAGCCATCAGCCCAGAGCCCGACGCGGGGCTCGAACTCGCGGACCGCGAGATCGTGACCTGGCTGAAGTCGGACGCTTAACCGACTGCGCCACCCAGGCGCCCCGAAACACGAGTTTTAAACAGTGCTCGTCCCTCCTTTTCTTTCTCGCTTAAGACAGGTTTGTCTTTGCTGCAAGCCACTCCGTTCATTTCAAAAGCAAGTCCAGAAAGATTTGGAGGTACTGTGAGAAGCAGTTACCCACAAACTGTGTAAGTCTTTGCCAGAAACCTCCTCCACACTCCCATTGCTATTTTAGGAGTCGTTCCAACCCTAGCCGCATTGGGCTAATTATGTGCCCTCGTGTTACTGTACCGTCTAAAAAGTAATTCCAGGGACATCCTCCCATGTAATTCTTACAATAACTTCGTGCTATAGGAATTTTTTCAGACTGTGCCCACTTCAGAAGTGCAGAAGCAGGTTCAGGCATGAAGTAAACTCACTGGGAACCAGGAGCGAAAGCAGGACTTGAATCCATAGAGGTGAGTCCTGAGATAGCCACCCCCATTCGCTTGCCCTCATCCGGATCCTCAGGACCTCTGCCCGTACTTGCTGACTTGTGAGCATCAAGTATTTCATATTTCCCACTCAAGGAATTGAACAGTGTATTCCGATTGATATTAGTGCGAGCCGATAGGGAGAGAAATCACTGTACCTGACAGGAAATGCACAAGAAATTCGGGTAGATGTACAAGATGACAACGAACGAAACACTCAGAGCTAAAGGCAATAGCCAGGGTCGTCTCAAGATGAGTGTCACCCTCCAACCCCTAGCTGCTTGGGGAATAACTCACATCTTCATATCGATAGGAAGGAGAGGAACTATACACTTTTCACCTTCAACGTATTTCCCAGTTATGGTTTCAAAGCTTTACTTCTTCAACGCCCATGTCAAGGGTGGGCACCGTGATGTATTCTGGGGAAACGAATATGAGCAAAAATAAGGTGCTCTGTTCACCTTCGTTTCATCAAATGAAATGGAGTGTAGCCCAGTAACGTTGTCTCTGACCAAAGCATTTTGAATTTTGATCCTACTGGAATCCAAGGGAACGCTTCGAAGCACTTACAAAATATTCTCTTAAAGCACATTACAGTCCTGTTGCTAATCATTGATTTTTTTTTTTTCATTTATTTTGTATTGCGGTAAAATATACAAAACAGAGAATTTCACGTTTTAACGAACTTTTTTAATTCTTTATTTTTTAAATGTTTACTTATTCTTGAGAGACAGAAAGACAAGAGCATGAGCAGGGGAGGAGCAGAGAGAGACAGGGAGACACAGAATCCGAAGCAGGCTCCAGACTCCGAGCCGTCAGCACAGAGCCCGACGCGGGACTCGAACCCATGAACCGCGAGATCATGGTCCGAGCCGAAGTCAGACGCTCAACCGACTGAGCCACCCACGTGCCCCACATTTTAAACAATTTTCAGCGTGCACTTCTGTGGCTGTAAGTACACTCGATCCCCACCATCTCTCTTTCATCTTCCCCAACTGAAAATCTATACTCATTAAACACTAATTGCCTATTGTCCCCTCCATCCAGCCCCTCGAAATCACCATTTTTACCTTCTGTCCCTCCAAATTTAGGTAGCATAGCTACCACATGGGAGTAGAGTGAGTAGACGAGTAGAGTGACACAACATTCGTCATGTTGTGCCTGGCTTATTTCACTTAACATAATGTCCTCAAGTTCCATCCATGTTGGGCCATGTGTCAGAATTTCTTTCCATTTAAGGCTGGCGAATGTTTCACAGTTTGTTTACTCATTTATCCACTGATGGACACCATGTCGCCTCCACCTTTTGGTCCTTGTAAATAATGCTGCTATTAACATGGGTTATTTGTATGTTTTAGATAACAGTCCTTCATCAGATACGGCTTTTGCAAATATCCGCCCCCGGTCAAATGGCTTGTATTTTCCCTTTTTTTTTGACAAGGTCTTTCACAGAACAGAAATGTTTAGTATTAAGAAAATCCAGCTTATCAATTCTTTCTTTCATGAGTAGGGCCTTTGGGGTTAAATCTAAAAAGTCATCACCGAATCCAGGGTCATCTAGATCTCTTCAAATCCACAATCCTTGGTTTAGGTTTTTCCCCTCTATTATTTTCATCTTTCTGCCAACATTGAATTTAGTCTGTTCTTTTTCTCGCTCTGTTACTGTTCCTAAGAATAGGTGACGCCATGTTTCTCTCAAGTTCACGTGAAACGTTCTTCGGATAGGCCATATATGTCAGGTCACAAAACCCGTCTTAATAAATGTAAAAACACCGAATCATACAAAGTATCTTTTCTAACCTCAGTGGGTGAAACCGGAAATTAACAGCAGAAGGAAAACCGGCAAATTCACAAACACGTGGCAATTAAACGACAGGCTGTTAAACAACCAATGGCTCAAAGAAGAAATTAGAAAGGAAATTAGGAAATATCTTGGTGCAAATGCACATGAAAATACAGTATACCAAAGTTTGCGAGATGCAGCGAAATCAGTGCTGAGCAGGAAATTTATGGGCTTTAGTGCTTCCTTTTTAAAAAAGGACTTAGGGGCACCTGGGTGGCTCAGTTCATGATCTTGTGGCTCGTGAATGCGAACCCCGCCTCGGGCTCGCTGCGGTCTGCCTGTCGTTGCAGAGCCCACTCCAGATCCTCTGTTCCCTTCTCTCTGCCCCTTCCCCACTTGCTCTCTCCCCAGAATAAATAAATATTAGAAAAACAGATTTCAAATACATTTTATTTTTTTAAAATTTTTTTTTTCAACGTTTATTTATTTTTGGGACAGAGAGAGACAGAGCATGAACGGGGGAGGGGCAGAGAGAGAGGGAGACACAGAATCGGAAACAGGCTCCAGGCTCTGAGCCATCAGCCCAGAGCCTGATGCGGGGCTCGAACTCACGGACCGTGAGATCGTGACCTGGCTGAAGTCGGACGCTTAACCGACTGCGCCACCCAGGCGCCCCTCAAATACATTTTAAAAAGACTTAAATCAACAACTTAACTTTACACTCCCTTTTGATTACTAGCTGCATGAAATACCTTTTTCCATCTTTTTACTGTCAATCTCTGCATGTGCTTATATCTTAAAATTCCTCCCTTTGGGGCGCCTGGGTGGCTCCGTCGGTCGAGCTTCCGACTTCGGCTCAGGTCGTGATCTCGCGGTCTGTGAGTTCGAGCCCCGCGTCGGGCTCTGCGCTGACAGCTCGGAGCCTGGAGCCTGCTTCGGATTCTGTCTCCCTCTCTCTCTGCCCCAACTCACTCGCATTCTGTCGCTGTCTCTCTCAAAAATAAATAAACAGGGGCGCCTGGGTGGCTCCGTCGGTCGAGCGTCCGACTTCGGCTCAGGTCACGATCTCGCGGTCCGTGAGTTCGAGCCCCGCGTCGGGCTCTGGGCTGATGGCTCGGAGCCTGGAGCCTGTTTCCGATTCTGTGTCTCCCTCTGTCTCTGACCCTCCCCCGTTCATGCTCTGTCTCTCTCTGTCCCAAAAATAAATAAACGTTGGAAAAAAAAATTTAAAAAAATAAATAAATAAATAAATAAATAAATAAACAAACAAACATCTAAGCAAATTAAAAAATAAAATAAAACTGCTCCCTTTTAGGCAACATATACTTGGATTCTGTTTTTAATCCTTTCTGCCAATATATAGCTTTTGATTTGGGTGTGTATTTACATTTGAAGTAATTACTGGTGTGAGCATTTACTTCTAGCACTTTATTTTTTTTTGTTTTCTGTACCTCTTAAAGCTTTTTTTGCCCCTCCTTTTCTCCATTATTGCCGACTTATCTTCAGTTCATTTTTTTGTAGCGACACATTTTGATTGTTTTCTTATTTCCTTTTGTAGATATTCAATAGGTATTTTATTGTGGTTATATGTAACCACATAGAACATCCTAAAGTTATGATCATCTGTCTTAAATTGATACCAAAATTAATTTCAATTGCTTACATAAGCTTCCCTCTTTTATAACTCTGCTTCCTGCTTCCGCTTTATGTTATCGATGTCACAAATTACATCTTTAGATGTTGGATACCCACTTACATAGGTTTATAATTACTTTTCACGATGGTGCCTGTGTAAATCCTGTAGAAAATAGCAAAGTGGCATCACAAACCAAAATTGCTATACTTTATATTTTCACGTGGCTTTGAGTTACCATCTAGTGTCTTTTTATTTCAACTTAAGGATTCCTTTTAGTATTTCTTTTTAACGTTACTATTGGTGATGAACTCTTTCGGATTTTGTTTGGATATGTTTTCATTTCTCCCTTATTCTTTGTTTAAAAAAAAAAACACGTTTATTTTGTTTTTTGAGGGAGATAGAGCATGGCCGGGGGAGGGGCAGAGAGACGAGGAGCACAAATCTGAAGTGGGCTCTGTGCTAAAAGCAGAAAGCCTGATGTCGGGGCTCAAACTCACGAACCGTGAGATCAGGACCTGAGCCAAAGTTGGATGCTTAACCGACTGAGCCACCCAGGTGCCCCGTTTTTTTGTTTTTTGTTTTTGTTTGTTTGTTTGTTTGTTTTGTCCCTTATTATTGACAGACATCTTTGCTGGATGTGGAATTCTCAGTGGACAGTTCATTTCTTTCAGAAAATATAAAGATTTCTTTCAGAAAAGATAGAGTCTTCTTTTGAACCCCCCCCCCAGTAAGTTTTTCA